ATCATCTTTGGTGGCATCCTGCTTCTGGTCAGCCACCTCTAGCTTCGACTTTGACTGGTTATTCTTGGACTTGCCAGTTATACTCCCTCAATGGGCTTCTTGATACTGTTTTGCCAGTTTGATCATTTTGTCCATGTCTTATAGGAATGGTGACATGTCAGTGTAGCATGTGATCATGAATTGTTCACGTATTAGTAGATCTGCCAGCCCTTCAAACTATCTTCACACTTGGCCATGTCAGTCCACCTTGTGAAGTATTGCTGTAGACATGCCCCAAATTGAAATACAGTTTCTCCAGTGTCAGATTTGACTTCTCTAAAGTTCCAGTGAAAATCTTCCTTGGTAAGTTCATAACATTTCAGCAAGGCTACTTCTAACTTGTCATAGTCCTTGACATTTTCTGACATTATCCCTGCATACACCTGTAGAAGAGGGCTGAGACAGACTGCTCAGTTGCCTTTGTCCCAGTTTTGACTTTGGAGAATTCTTCATATTTCTCCAGGAAGACATCCATGGTATCTTTCTGTTCATCATATATGGGCAGCTTGGGTCTGTTAGTACTGACCAATGTCATTCTTGGGTCTTTCTGTTGGGTGAGCTTTTTGATCTTAGTTTTTGCTCTTATTCTCTCTATTTCCAGTCTCTCTATATATTATTTCTCTCTATATGTGCTCTTATCATTTCTATTTCCAGTTTTTCCTTTCTCTTTTTGTGCTCTTATTCTTTCTAAATAGGACTGAAAAATTTAATTTTTTCTGAAAAGGTGGTGTCTACTTACTTGTGACTATGCTGTGTATATATGCACAACTGTTGTGGTAGTAAAATATTGTAGATGTCACAACCACACTATATAACATCAAGAAGAGAGGAAAAAAGAGAAATGCAGAAAGAATAAAAGGAGAGACTGGAAATAGAGAACATAAGAGCATAACTTAAGAAAGAAGAAAATGAGAGAGAGGAGAGACTGGAAACTCATGAATTGATATATTTATAATTTAATTAATATCTAGTAGATCTTCCTTTTGCTTCGTGGAATTTGTTGATTCTTTGGGGCATCGTGAGAATCATCTCGTCAATTTTAGATTGTGGGATTTTCGCCCACTCTTGCTTCAAAAATTGGAGTAGATCGCTCTTCGATGTTGGTTTTATGGTTGTTTTTTGACTTGCCGGTTGAGTATGCCCCAGAGGATTTCGATGGGGTTCATGTCAGGAGATTGGCTCGGCCAGGGCAACCTCTGGATACCATTTTCTTCTTGACACTTTTGGGTGTTTCTAGCAGTGTGACACGGTGCTCCATCTTCCTGGAACAACGTTGTGTTCTTGTTCATGAAACCCGAGGAATAAAGTGGCAAGAGTCCTTCCTCCAATATTTCGACGTATTTCACAAAATTTATGTTGCCAACACACTCCACTAAGCTCGATCTCCCACCAACCCAAACAGCTCCCCAAACCAACACGCTGAAACCACCATGCTTCACAGTTGGCTGCAATCCGTTGAGCCCAAACTCTTGGTGAGGCATTCTCCAGACCCATATCCTTTCACTGTCCGAAAATTGAG